AATTTCCTTAGGAACACTGATAATTTTTTCACTCTATGGGAGGCTCCCCATTGATTTGCTTACTTGCGAAAAAATGTTCCTACCAATTATCAAAGGTCAATTCAAACTTGTTTGAATCATACCTAATTTTTGAAGCTGTCTAATAATCCAAATGTCAGTTCAAAAATTGTTGATTTTTTGCTGTTCATTAGAAGCATTTTATTTGCTGAACCTAATCATTAATACTTGCAATGGAATATGGAAAGAGAACCTGCTCAATGGAATTAGATGGAAACTATAGCAAGAACCTTCATCATTCCATTTCGTCAAAACCTTTTCGGAAAAGAAAGTATTTTCATTAATAGTCCAATAAGAAGAATAGCTGTTGCAAAGAATACGAAATCTGCAGTTACAGGATCATTTCATGAAAACCATTTAAACGACCAACAATTTCATTTGAGAGAGCTTAAAGTTATTCGTGGTGGAAGAGCAATTGTTTCATTGGATACAACTTCTCCTTGTCGCCCTTATGTTACAACATTGAGAGCAATGCAGTTGAACGAAGACTTCCCAGCTCGTCCTATGGAAGTTTTGCAAATCACCATATTCGTGTTTTTGCTTTTACTTCAGTGCAGGATGCAGCTGAACAATTGCATCATCCAGAACTTAGAAGAGAAGACTTCAGTTTGATTAATAATGTTTTTCCAGTTTCCCTTGCAGCAAGTAACCGAAGTGATAGTCTTGAGAGAAAGACTATCAAAAGTTCAAAGTAACAAATTCGGAGCAGTCGATAAAAATGTTTATGTTTTTTGAGTTTTCAGGTTTGTATAAAAATAATGTAACTTCTTGGGACTTTTCATTGCAATTGTCTCTGTACTATCAATTTTGTTTTTCTTCAGACCCGAGAAAATTCTTCAACCTAGACTGTAAAACAGTGTTTAATAGACTTTGTACAGCTCATATGACTTGTGTATAGGACTTTGTTGATTTACTGCCTAAATGCATGTAAATCGTTAATCTTTTTTTAAAATCCTCAAATAGATTATGAAGCTATCTACTTCTTTGTTTTTAAATGTAAATCAACAGACAATTGCAAAGATGGTCAATTTTTCTCTTCTGCAAAATATTCAAAGAATTTCTGAGCTCAGATTTAGGTACATGGAATCTTACCCCTCTGATAAAGTACATAAACTAACAAAAATTTGTTTGCAATCATCAACTCACCTCTAAGCAATGATAGAATAGAACACTGGATCATGATTGCTCGACTGGACAAACCTTACTACTTTGCTGATTATTTGGATTGAAAAAGAACAACAATTTTTTCCTTCCTAACAAAAAAACATTGTGGAATGGTTTCCTGAAAACTACAAAAATCTGATAATTTGTGTGGGTTTTACGCAATTTATTCAGCATTTCTTCCTTATAAATTTCACCTGAGAAACCCCCCCCCATTTAAACCCCCCCCCCCCCCCCCCCCACCTAACTTCCAACATCTACTACTCTTATACAACAGCGCAAAATCTGAAAAATTAGGACGATCTTGTGGAACTAAAAAAATTTCATCGACACATAAGTAAACAGGAGATAACAGATGCTATCGACGCAGGAAATGAAAGAAAAACTTCGCAGCCGAAATAAGTTTACTACAAGAGCAAAAAAAATCGAGAATAGGGTTCGTATTTTGTGTAATAGGTTCTTACAGAGGGGTAAAAAATATTGTTCTTGAAGCGTTAACAACCATCAATGAGTCTTTGGGCTCGTTTTTTAATTAAAAAAAGCGACATCTATACTTGTGACAACGAACATTTTTAAAGTATATTATAGTAAAATTCCACCCATGCTGTAGTATTGATGTTGTTTTGATATTCTCCCAAGCCGAACTAAATTGTAAACGTACACCTTCATAGAATGTATGGATAGAAGTTCTGGCTTGAAAATAAATTTTTTATTACATATATGTCTGAGTTGCAATAAATTGGTTGTTTTTCTGTGTAGCTTATCCACCGATAAATTAATTCCATTTCCGTCTGAAACTTCAACCACATAAAGTTTTTTGTGTACAAAATTTTAGCCCCGATCTTGAAAGAAGGTTATTTTGCAAGATCTATTGAGAATCTTGCAAAATCATTAACAGATATACATCGTCTTCATTCTTCCTTGATTAAAATGAAAGCATTTTATAAGCATAGAGGGAGCAATTGACAAATTGAGCCAATTACTTCTCAAAAAGTGAGTTATCATTTTTATATGCCGTTCCCATTCTTACTTTGCTCAGATTTCAGCCAAAAAAAAACTTATTTTGTGAAAACGAAGCCAAATTGACGTAAGTGGTTGAGTAAACTAAAAAAACTTAATCGAAGTTTTCGGCCAACAAGAAGCAGTTTGAAAACTAACTTCACAGAAAAATATTGAACGATATTTAACTTTTTTATGCGATAAGGAGGCTTATAATGAGACATTATTTTTATGTACGCATCAACCAATCCATAAAGACTTGATTTTAGTTAAGAGCTGAAGTTGGCGCTGACTTAGTAATATTTTTATAAGCAAAACGGTCAAAGTCAACGTTTTTTTTGGGTTTTCCTTCAGGCAAATCGTTGAATCTAACATCTTATTCTTTAAAAAACACTCCACCAGCGCTAAAAATGACGGCAAAAAGTGAACGTGGTGTAAGTGAGTAAAAGTGTGTAAGTATAGTGTACTTTATGAAGAAAAAATATCGTTTTTTTTTTTCAAACTAAACCTAGTTTTTATAAAGGAACCATCCATTTCAACAAACAAGTTGACCGCAAAAAAAACTATGTTTTCCAAATGACTGCAGTGAGGAAAAACGAATTGCCCTCAGAGATTCAGCTTCGAGCGTCGGTTTTTTTTAATTCTTTTTGGGTTATTTTCATCAAGAATTCTGATTGATTAAATAGTTTGTTGAAAGCTTTCAAAATTCATGTGCAAGTTGAGACACTTTTTTAAGTTTTGGAAAATGACTTGCTTTCTTGAAGAACCGAGAAGAAAACTAAGGTAAGCCCAGAGATTTTTACGTCTAATTTTATTTTTTTAAACGATCATTTTTTGATTTTATTTGCGCTTATAATTTCAAAAACGTATTCAATTTTAGGGCACAAAAGCAAAAGCGTAAGAAACTAGAACCTTCAAAAACATTAAACGAAATAATAAAAACACTTAGTTTTTCGAGATAAAGGGCTTTGTTGAACTTTTTGTTGTTCTTACTTGTTTTATGTAAGGGTGACCGAGGCTTTGAAATGAGAACTAACTAATTTTTAAACTGCTAACGATTTAGTGTAATTTTTAGTGTAACTTTTCAGGAGTATCGATTCAACTGAACTCTTGTAATGTCAGGCCTTTTTTGTCGTCAGCAAATTTTATCTAGACATGTATCGCAATATGAATCTCGTCAGAGCGATCTTTATAATGATGAAGACAAAAGCTCGTAAGCAAATGTTCAAGTTTCCTATATTTGTCGATATAGCGATAACCAAACAGTACGAGCCGATTAACTTGTTTTACCAAAAAATTGAGCATAATTGAATAGTTTTTGTCATTTTATCCTAAATTAAGCAAGTGTTTTGATATCAATGGTCACCATAGCATGCGGAAAAGAAATCGATTGAATTGAGTTCATTTGTTCGTTTTTGACCTCATACATTAATACTTACGTAAAAAGTCTCGGAACAAAAGGTTCACATTTTTTCGTACCTAGATTTGGCAGTGTCATTAACTTGAGTTCATCAAACTTTTCAGTCGCTTTAAATTCAAAAAGGGTGTTTATTCATATGAAATAGTTTTTTTGTTCGGCCACTTTTGTTGACAGCAAGTTTTTTTTAAAAACATTCCGCAATCTGACAATCTGAGAAACATTAATTCAAATGATAAAACCGAAAAGTTTTTTAAGGAAAAAACGCTTTGTTACATTAGATAATGACGATCGAGGGTTTGAAACGAGAACTTTTGAAATAATTAACAAATTAGTAACAGTATATTGTAATACTTCAGTCGCTTTAAGTTCAAGAGGAGAATCTATTCAACTGAAATCATTTTGGTCTGGCTTTTTTGTTGATTGCGAGTTTTTCCAGCAACTTATCAATATGAATCACGGCACAGCGAGTTTTATAAAAGTGAAAAAGAAAAATTCAAACTTCCTATATTTGCTAAGCATTTCAAGCCAAAAAAGCTAAGTTTTCCAGCTGAAAACAGAGAAATCAAAAATCTCTCCATACTTTGGATGCCTTGAACAGTACGAGCCGATTATTTTTAATTTCAAAAAAATTCAGCTATTTTAACAAAATAGTGTCAATTTAGCTGAAAGTAAGCGCATGGTTTAATATCAAGTGTCATCAAGGAATTTGGCAAAAACACTCGACTGAAGTTGTTCATTTGCTCGTTCTTCACCTCGTTTAATAATACTTAGGTGAAAAAATCTCTTTAATGATCTCAGAAAAAAGTTTCGAAAATCTCGCAAATTTGCAATCCTATTATTGGCAGCGTCATACTCTTGTATTAATCAAAACGGGCGAAAAAATCTGTCTCTCCTGGTCGTTCAAAGAAATAATCTGATACCAACTGCAAAACTGGATTTTTTTTGTTATAAGCTATTGCTTTTTAGAAGTACACTGTTTCCGCATTAAAACATGGATTTTTCTGGTTCTCCGACTTATAGAAAAATATATCACCCCACCAGATCATTTTTATTAAGCATATAACTCTCTGTGTTTTTTTTCAGGCATTGCAGAATAAAAATGTCAAACTAGACCATTGAAATAATTGTAACTATGAGAACTTTCAGCTCATTCTGCTCCAACAGCGGAATATTACTAGCTCAAAAACACTTTGTGAGTCATAATTGCGAAAATTTTGCATTTTCAGAAAAACCTTGAGGGCAAAAATAAAGGAAAATTTTGCCTAAATTAATGTGTGTTCGAGGCTAAACAGATCATGTCAACTATAATTTTCATGATAAAAAAAATTACTTTTAAAAAATTCAACCAGATTTTTAATTTCAGCATCATCATAATGGCTGAAGCAGGTCATCAATCTAACAAGGAAGTAGACAGTGAGAGGGAAAAATTTGAAATTGTCAAGAAACTGGCAGAGTCTCACGGGATGGGAAAAGCATTGTATGACAAAATGAAAGAAGAACGCGACAAATGGCGCAAAGAAGTGATAAATATTGCTGTTATCGGCCAAGCGAGGCAAGGTAAATCTTCGTTAATCAATGCTTTCATGGGCAAAAAAGTTGCCAAAGTCAGCGCCCTTGGAGTTACCACTACAAAAAACAAAAAATATCCTCATCCTTCGAATGAAAACATCATTCTGTGGGATTTGCCGGGTATTGACAGTGTGAAACATCAACGCGAGGATTACATCGATAAAATTGGAATTAAGGAGACTCCCTACGACTTCTTCTTAATTGTAACAAGAGACATTTTCAGCTCTGACGCTAAATTTGCAGCCGATTTAGTGCAGGGTGAAGACAAAAGGTTCTACATCGTAAGAACACATATCGATGAATCTATAAAAGCAGAACTAGAAGATAACGAAGAAAAATGCTTAGACGAACTCGACGTGCGAGCCGAAATTCGAAAAAAGCTCAAAGAAGAGATTGGTGTGCATGCTTTCAACGCGGAAAAATTCAGAGTATATCTCGTGAACTGTAAGAAATCGCTTGACTTTGACTTCCCGAAACTGCAAAAAGACATTTGCGAAGACAGTGTTTCTGAAATTCAGCAGGAAGCACTTCTGTTGACAATTGGAGGACATGGTCAAGAGCTAATCAAACAAAAGTATGCTCTTTTCCAGAAGCGGATCTATAAAGTTGCCCTTGCTTCAGCCGCAGGTGGCGCTGTTCCAATTCCTGGAGTAAGTGCTGCGGTTGACTTGTTAATTTTGATTGAAGAGGCTTTGACCTATTTCGAGGGCTTCGGGTTAAGCAAAGAGTCAATTGCTAGCTTAGAAGAGTTGAACGAAGTTGAAAGGGGAACCATCGAAAAAGCATTGAAAGGACAAATTATGAACAAGTATCCCGTTCTGGATTTTATACGTGAGCGCGCGCCTTCAGCATTGTCGTCAATGCAATCTCTAAAAGACGCCGCAGTGTCTATTGTTAAGACGTCGAGTGGTTATCTTCTGAAACAGTTGTACACAGTGGCAGCTTCAGAGGGGGTTGAAAAAATAGTTACGTGGTGTGTACCTATTTTGGGATCCGCTATGGCTGCTGGAATCTCATATGCAGTGACGACATACCAACTACAATGCTTCTTAGAGCAATTCAAAAATATGGCGGAGTTCGCGAATTCGTATTTGTCAAGTGCGAGCCGGCACAGATTGGAAGCATTTGAGGCACGCGATGAATAAACCCAAAGGTGAAAATAAATCACAGTGAGAATATGAAATTCCCTTTGATTTCACGATCATACCATTTCTTAGAGCTCTCATGAATATTAGAGCTTCAGTCAGTTTATTAAATTTTTCTCATGTGGTATCATTGCATCTATCTCCCCTTTATTAATACTTAAAACTAATGCCATGAGCAGACTTCAAAAATCGAATATAATTCAGCAGTAGCCCCTTTTTTGAAAAACATGCACAATTTCATAGCGAATTGTCCGGTAGTTCTCTTGCAACCTGATTGACAAAAATGTCAAGCTACAAAAAATTCTCTCGGCTCCTACTGTCAAAAATTTGTTCTCGTAATATAAATTTTCGATATCGTGCTTTGCTTTTAACCCTCTTGCTTCGCTTCTTTTGATATGTTACAGCTTGCTTTTGCTATAAAAACTTGATTTCCAATCAGATCAATAAGCTATTGAATAGTCACGACTCCTTTATTGTATTTTTTACGAAAGCTGTCAAGTAAATTCATTTTTAGATATTTTATATTCCATTTCAACTGGTGATTCATATCCAAACAATAGAAGTTTTCCGAAATATCCATTTTTTGAATAACGTGACTGGATCTCAACTGTTACGTAGAGTGAACCATATTTTTAAAGTGAAGTTTTTCAATGAGTCAGCTTTGAACAATTTTTATATAAATACAGTTGAGAATCACACAAGTCAGTCAACAATAAAGTATTATTCTTTGAAATTACATCTAAAATCAAATTGTATACACTATTTGCTTTTTTTATTGAATGATCGTTTAGACCCACACTGCTTTTATTTTTTTGTGCACTATGTATTTACTACTTTCATGTTTAAATATACGCTAGATCAACCATTATAGTTGTTATTACACAGCTTTGAATCATAATTGTTTGTGATCAACACTCTTGTTCGAAACTGAAACACTGAACGATTAGGCAGAACTTAACCTGCCTCAATCGTTTTTTGAAAGTCTAGTCGAACAATCAAAAAGAGACCCAATCTCACGAACAAAGTGATCACTTCCGTAAAGATTACACAAAAGATGGATTATTTGTTTTTGTTCAGTTCAGTTCAACACGCGACCAGTTTCCAGCGTTAATAATCAATTATAAATTGATTTCAGTACCAGTCTAATAAAATTGAGAAAAAAATGATTTTAATTAATTAAAAATCAATTAAAATGTCTCTTTTTGAAATAAAACAATCAATTATTATACAATCTAGTCGGTTATAATCAATTATTTTTATCCAAACTTCTAATTCATTCGCTTTGCTGAAAAAATCCATTATAATCGATTATTGTTCCGACTTTCGATACGAAAGTAACGGAATATTTGTGCTCGAGGTGGGTTTTTCTTTTTCTTCAGACAAATTTCGACTTTTTAACTAGCCATTTTTGACGGAATTTTTTTATATCATTCGAAAGCTATTGTTGTCCTGAGCTCAAATTTGAAAAAATATTTCACTTGTGATCATTTTTCGTAAAGTTATGGGGGTTTAAAGATTGCCATTTTGGCCAATTTGGGACAATTAACGCGCGATATATTTCGCGCTATTAACGCGTAAGCGGAGATTTAATCCGTCTTAAAATTGTTCCAAATTGGTTGAAAGAAGATTATTTGCCATAATTGATTTGTTAAAAGGAGCTAAATCTATCTTTTTAAACTTTATATGGCGCGTGGGGGGATGATTGTCATAAAAAGTTTCAAATTTAAGAAAAAAAAATTTTTCATTTTTTTTTATTACATTTAATTTTTTGATGTTATTACTGCTCCATAAAACCCTAAAAGGCAGTCGGAACATTCACGGCTTCGCCCTGATACGAGCAGTCTTGTATTTATTTAGATTCCCTTTTGTTTGCCTATTTTGCTTTCGAATTCCACATGAACTCTTTTATTCCACATGCTTATATTTTATGCTTTTCGTAACGTTGGGTTATGTAAAAATGAGAAAACGGTTTTAACAATTTTCAAATCAATTCAATTTTTTAACGCTGTTTTTTATTTCCTCTTGATTATAATTGTTTCATGATGCAGATTTTAAGTTTTTTACCAACAAAATATCAGCACACTGCTTTGGTTTCATGATTTATATAGAAGAGTTGTATTTCACTTACCACGGGTTTCTTTTAACTAATATGAATGGATCTCTATGAAACTAATGTTTCGTGATAAAATTTTGTTTTTAGATGAGCTAAAGAGTGACAAGACATGATTATGATAGGTTATAAGAGATTAAAAGAGATTAGAAACGATTTTAGGATAAATTATGATCAATTATAATTGAAAATAAGTTATTATAATGTCATGAAAATAGTTATCGTAATAAAGGAATAAGAATCTTCAAAGCATCTGACTTTGGCGCTTATAATTTAAAATCATTTTGATAAAAATGCAATTATAATAGTAATTTAATCGAATGTTTTCTTTTTTTAGGTAGTGCGGGAAATGATTCCAAGCTACCCTTGTTTCAGTCTTTGCAATATAAGTTGATCTGAAAATGAAAGGTTGCGTGAATTTTTATCCCTATTCCGCAAATTTCAAACTAATTCATCTTTACAAAAATTTTACAGGAGAAAAATAATTTAAACTTTAGCTTAAAGCAACATTTTTTGAGGATAGTTTTCAAAAATAAATTGAAAAAATAAGTTTTAAGGTCGAACTAGTTGTCTAGAGCAAATCAATGTTGGAGGTGACTTTCATAGTTTTACAGCGTTTATTTCAATGGTTCTGGGATGTGGGAAGAAAGCTGATCCTATCCCGTCGGAACTGAAATTAGTTTCAAAAATCATCTGAGCTGCACTATAAAAAAAGGCAGGTGATTATTGAACTTTCTGTCCGAAACGAAAATTATCGTAACTACTTTAAAATTGTCTTCATTTTTGGTCGTTTGAGAATTAACCAAAAAGAAGATCTCGTAATACTAATAAGGGGGACACTTGGGGTCAGCAGAGTGTCGAATCTTTGTGTAAAGGAGGCGTCCGACCCGCAGAACCTCCTCCCACGGCCCCGCCGCCTCAATCCGCCATTGACGGAAAATATCACATAGTTTTTCATATTGATGTCATGAATGATTTTTTGTTTGATTACTTTGTAAATTGCTTCTGTGGTTCAATTATTAATAAAAATCTCAAATTGTGAAAAAATTTTAGTGGCCGGTTGTCTTTTAAGCGTCTGTATTCCGCTGTGTCGCAAACTAAATTTTCACTGGTTGTTCTTGAAGTGGGTATTGTGGGAGGCTACCAACTGGTGGGTTTCTGCAAACACAGATGTCCAGAGAAGCCTTAGCTATGATTGTAAGGTGCTCCAGTCAAATCTCCTAATCATGTAGTGTTTCTTGCGGATGGTTTCAAGAAAACTCCAATCTTAATAGTTTTGAATCAATTCATAGCATCATATCAAAAAATCGCCTGATAAAGTCATAAATGTGTGTTAACACTATCCCGGCTAAGCTCATCTACTACGTTGAATTCAATTTAACAGAGGTCAAAATAATTGTTGATACCATCAATTAATTGGAGAAACAATGAAAACCAATAATAGGCAAACATTCACAATTTGACCGCTTTTGACAAGTAACAATAGAAACAAAAAATAAAAGCCAATGATTAAAGAATGTAATGAAAAAGTGCTGCTACGCAATTAATTCAATTTACCCCTGGTTTTGCAATGCAACTCTTGCAAGAAATCTAGCAAGAAAATTTATTTTCTCGTTTTTTTTCTTAGAATATGCTTGCGTTATTTGCATTCTGTTTTCAAGATTCTCATAAAAACTGCTTTCTAAGGCAAAACGTTTTCCGGTTTGTTGAGGTTTTTTGAAGCTTATTTAAGTTCAGTTCAAAAATAAATCATAGCTGAGATTGTGGGATTCCCTTTAAGCGACAGGTGGAAATACAAGAAAAAATTGCACAATTAATTGCAAAAGAAATGTTTCTTCAGGCCTGCATATCAATTTTCAAAACTTTTCAAAAATAGATAAATTATAAAAACCACATAAAAATTTTCACAGGAGAACAGGCATTAACTTTAAGGCTAAAGGCAACCATATCTCTCCTATAGGTTTTTTAAAGTTCTGTAATTGTTTACTTATATACTCAAAATTTGTCTAAGCCAACCGAAAAATTATTTTCAAATTATCGCAAAATTTAATTAATTAAAAATTGATCAACATCAAAAATTTTTGTTATTAGTATTAATTTGATAAATTATTAGTTCAATCTTCTAGATCAACATCTGATTTTTAATTCTTCTAAAAGTTAGTTTTTCATGAAGGATACCGGATTTGTAGAATGAATCTGGTTTTTTGTTCTGCGTTTTTTTTTGAGGTGCGACTTCATAAACTTTTTCATTTGTTGGCCTTCATAAGAGAAAATTGTAGGGAACCCGTGTTCATTTGGATCGCTGATATTGGTCATTCTGTTTCGCTATCCAACGCCGATAGTTTGCAATCAATTATATTTACAATGGCCTTTCTATCGTGGGTCATAAGTGTAATTAAACCTTCTTATCTTTCTATATTTAGTTTTGGATTTTGTGGGAACTTTTTTGTCGTTCTATCTGTCTCTTCCCTATAAATGTTGAGCAATGCTGCATATCTAGCTTCTCGAACGCTCCGTTGTGTTGCATCCTCATTTTCTGTTAGTGGTTCTTAAACTGGGTAATATAGAAGATTACGAGCTGGTAGGTTTATGAATTCGTGGATGCCCACAGAAACAATAAGTAATATTGTGCAGTACAACATTTCCGTCATTTCATTCGTCAAGTGGTTCAAAAAAATCCAATTCTAAAATCGAATTCGCTTAATTTGGAGCAACCCGACTGCGCCATGGTTATTCTTCATATTAAGACTTCTAGAATATTACCAGCTGGTGAGATTCTGAAAACGTCGGTGTCCAGAGAATTTTAAGCTTAAAACTTTTGCATGCTTGATTCTTTGCGCCAAAAAAAGTCCCTTGATATGATCTCAAAAAGACGACTACAGACCTGAGGTAAAAAATTTAAGTCGAAGCAGTTCTAAGTGAATCTGTTTTTTTTACATAAATTAAAATATCGTTGGAGTAACTTTGAATTATTCGATCAGGTCGATTTTTCGAAACAAAAAACAAACATTGAAACTTGGCATTCGAGAGCTTGACCGCTTTTGGCAGGTACAAAGAGAAGTGAAATTAGCAGCTAATGATTAAAAAGTGGACTAATGAAACTCCTGCTATAATTTTGATGTAATGTATTGGAGCTTCAAACACATCCCAGAATTCTTGAAATACTAAGTTTGCGCAAAAATGTTGCAAGACATTAGATTTTTTCACAGTTTCTCTAGGCGTTATTAAATACACAAAAAGAGTCGAGATTCCCCAGCAGAGATTGCTGGTTACCCGGTAAGCGACTGAAAAACGAATAAAATTTTGCTCGAATGAATGCAAGATCATTGTTCCTAAAGCTTTTTAC